CAATGGCAGAGCTGAGTAGTTGGGACAGAGACTATAAGACCTGCAAAGCCTAAAATATTTGCTATCTCAGGATCAGCACCAGGTGTAATGAAGTCTCTCTCTCTCTCTCTCTCTGGCTCTCGCGCTCTCTCTCTCGGTCCCTCTCTCTCTCTTTCTCTCTCTCTGTTTCTGTATGTACACAATCCTGAATCCTGACTCTATCTGGCCCTTTACAAAAAAATGTTTGCTAGACTGTGGTAGAGTTAATTGTAGCAATGTTAATTTTCTGATTCTTGTAGTGGTTTGTGCTTGAGATCAGTGGCTGCATCACTCTCTGGTAAAGGCATGTGGTTGTTGGCTGTGACCTCTGGGCTCAGATGATCTGTGCTTCCTGTAGAGGCAGGGGGCCAGGCCAGAGCCATGGCCAGTACAATGGTAGCAGCTGGACTGACCATTGCTGTTGCAGGATTTGCAGGCCACTATGTTTTGCAAGCCATGGAGCACATGGAGCCTCAAGTAAAACAAGTTTTTCAAAGTCTACCAAAATCTGCCTTCAGTGGTGGATATTACTGAGGTGGGTTTGAACTCAAAATGACAAAACAAGAAGCAGCATTAATACTAAGGGTAAGCCCTGCTGCCAGTAAGGGAAAAATAAGAGATGCTCATTGATGAATTATACTCTTAAATCATAGCAACCAAAATCAGTGAAGCTAGAGATTTACTAGAAGGTCAAGCTAAAAAATGAAGTAAATGTATGAAGAATTTTAAGTTCATTTTAGTTTATGTATATGAGAACCAAGTTTTTATAATAAAATGCCTCAGAGCTACAATTCCTTTTCAATTTCTGATTCTGATCATTGTACTTTCATTAAGTAGGATGTTTACATAAAGGGAAGCTGGGTTAAGGGTATATAGAACTCTGTGTACTATTTTTACAACTTTTCTGTAAGTCAAAAATTATTGCCGGGTATGGTGGCTCATGCCTATAATCCCAGCACTTTGGGAAGCTGAGGCAGGTGGATTACCTGAGGTCAGGAGTTTGAAACCAGCCTGTCCAACAGGGCAAAACCTCATCTCTACTAAAAATACAAAAATTAGCCAGGCACCATGATAGGCACCTGTAATCCCAGTTACTAGGGAGGCTGAGGCAGGAAAATCACTCGAACCTGGGAGGAGGAGGTTGCAGTGAGCTAAGACCCCGCAACTACACTCCAGCCTGGGCAATACAGGGAGATTCCATCTCAAAAAACAAAACAAAGCATTATTGCAAAATAAAACATCTTAAAAATAATGCAAGCTCAAGGATAGGATAAGTGTACTAAGTTCCAAGTGCACAGTAACACTATGGGGCCAAAACAACAGCCACAACCACAACCACAACAACTTAGCACTCTGCGCCAGGCACTTTACATATCATTGTTTAATCCCCACAACACTATGAGGTGGATACTATTTACTCCCATTTGCAGGTTAGAAAAATGAGTCATATTTTATCAATGTTATACAACTAGTAAGTGGCAGAGTCAAGATCTGAACCCAGGTAGTGTGAAGTCAACAAGAGGACTAGAAAAAAAATATATAGACCTTTCCATTTATCAGGTCCATGCTCAGTTTTCAAGTCCATGAAGTCTTGAAGTCATAAATGTCTTCTAATCATTAGTACTGAAATACCAAATATTTTAAAACCAATTAAGAGCCACACCAGAGAGGATGCTTTACAACTCAAGTATGTAGTGTATGCAACAGTAAGGACTTTACAGGGTTTTGTAGCATGTGTCTTTTGTGTAGAATCCAATATAAGGGGCTAGGCGCAGTGGCTCATGCCTGTAATCCCAGCACTTTGGGAGGCCAAGGCAGGCAGATCACTTGAAATCAGGAGGAGTAGGTTGGAGTGAGCTGAGGTCCCACCACTGCACTGCAACCTGGGCAACACATTGAGACCTCATCTCAAAGAAATAAAAATTTTTAAAAACGAAATCCAATATAGGGAGAAAGGCTGACTGTCTTGGGATCAATCTTTGTCAAATTATTTTGAAATGGGGAGTATATTGTTTTCTATACAACATGGAAATCCTCCCATAATCTATATGATAAATCATGATGTAAACTAGATGTAAACTAGAAAGTTAGTCTCATTGCTTATTGTCATGGTTGTATTTTCAATTTCTGAAAAATTATTTTTAAAACTCTCTGAGAAGGAAAAGCTACAGAATTACTACTCTAAAACCATTAGAAAACATATCATTTTACTTTAATCAATTTCCAGCACAAACTTTAAATTGTAAAAACTGTATACCAAAGCAAAAGTGTTATGTGGGTGTCTCAATTCAATTGTGACAAATAAATTCAAATACCAATTTTCTTTGAAATTCTAACTGCTAAAATGCTTTCAGGCATAACCAATTCTGGTTAATTGTAGAGCATCAAATGAAGGACTATCTGAAGTAAGGCAATCTATCCAATACAAATCAAGTAAAGGAAACGTCATATTATTCAAAAATGTCATAAACGTATTTTTAAATGGGAAGCAAACCTATAAAAAGAAGAGAAAAAATTATATATATATATATAAAGTGACAAAATTGTGACAAACATTTTATTAAAAATAAATGATGGTTATCTAAATATGCTATGCCATTGACAGACTAGTAAAATACCTCCAGTAAAAGGAGTTTTAAGACAAAGAAGTATGACTATACCTGGTAACCATACTTTGAATATTATACATAAACAATTGGGATTATTTTTTGTGAGGCTGTCCAAAACGAACCCTCCTTCTATGTAGACTGAAAAGACAAGAACATCACTTCAAAAGACTGACTATGCAATCATAGAAAAGAACTAGTTCATGTCCTTTGCAGGGACATGGATGAAGCTGGAAACCATCATTCTCAGCAAACTAACACAGGAACAGACAACCAAACACCGCATGTTCTGTCTCTCTTTTTTTTTTAGAGATGGCATGTCACCATGTTGGCCAGGCTGGTCTCGAACTCCTGACCTTAGATGATCCACCTATCTTGGCCTCCCAAAGTGCTGGGATTACAGGCATGAGCCACCGCGCTCGGCCCCAACATGTTCTCTCTCACAAGTGGAATCTGAACAATGAGAACACATAGACACAGGGAGGGGAACATCACTCACCGGGGCCTGTTGGGGGGTAGAGGGCAAGGGGAAGGAGAGCACTAGGACAAATACCTAATGCATGCAGGGCTTAAAACCTAGATGACAGGTTGATAGGTGCAGCAAACCACCATGGTACATGTATACCTATGTAACACACCTGCACATTCTGCACATGTATCCCAAAATTTAAAGTAAAAAAAAAACTGACTAAATGAGTCACAAGATTATGGAAATATAATGATCTTTACTTTATAGCTTAGCACATATATATTTTTTAAATCCAAATTGTGAACCTTATCAAGTGAAATTATGTTCCTTTGATTTTAAATTATTTCTTCAAAAATTATTTGATAATAGTATAATTTCAAGTGTGACTAGAACATGATAAAAATGGTAATAAACTTTCTCAATCGCTATAAGCAAATCACCACCAACATAAACAAGGGTATCACATTCTTGAGAAGAAATATGCAACTCAAAGACCATTATAAGCTATTTTGGGGTGGGGCAGTTTTTAAAATTTTAACATGTCTAAGATAATTTCCTCAGCATAGCAAAAATAGAGATTTTAATCCTTTGTATCCAATAACACATTCTGTCCTTAAAACAAAACTAAGTACATTTTATTAATGAACTACTGCCTTTATGAAACAACAATAAATATAGAAACATTTTGCTTTAAAATGTTAATATTACTATTTAGATTTTAATAAAAATAAAATAAAATGTATTAATTATATAATATACATATATTCCAATAACATGATTTAATCATATATTATTTAATAATAAATATATTTTATATTAATCAACATTATTTTAAATCTTTAAAAATTGGAAATAAATGAAATATTTAACAATAAGAGAATAATTCAACTGTGGTAGCACAGTAAAATGGAATATTTTGCAACCATTAAAAAGTGTATAAAGAAAGTTTAACAGCATGGAAAAATCCTTGTTATGAGTGGGTAAAAAGCAGGAATCAACAAGTATATACAATATCCTCCCAAACATGTCTTTAAAGAATATACATAGAAAGAACACAGGAGATTAATATGCCAAAATATTACTAGTGTTACCCTTGAGAGAGAGAATTATAAATTATTTTTCCATAATTTAAAAAACCTCTACAACCTTTATAATTGTTTACTGGGAATGTTAAAAACCTTATTTCCTTACAGATCCAGTGAACAGCTATAGAGTTTTCATACATTTTGTTTCAGAAGCCACCCTTTCAAGAAGTAATTTCTGTTACACAATTTGAAATATTAACATAAAAGGATGCTTCTTGGTTTATACGCTTTTTTTTTAATAGAGATAGGATTTCTCCATGTTGTTCAGGCTGGTCTCAAACTCCTGACCTCAGGTGATCCATCCACCTCAGCCTCCAAAAGTGCTGGGATCACAGGCGTGAGCCATCGTGCCCAGCCAGTTTATACTTTAACTGCTCACATAGGAGTACACATTTTAATAAAATCTATTAAAATCCCTAATTTAATAAGAAATTTCATTTCACCTCAATTGTGAATCACCATAATAAAGGTATAGCTTATGTATACTGTGAAACACTGCAATCAGAAAGTACAATACTAAATCAAATATTTAGTATATTGTATTGTGAAACAGAATATATGTCCATATGCCAGAATACACATATTTAATCAGAAGTGTACATAAAATTGCCATAGGACACTATTCGAGTAAAAACCCAATATACATTTAAATTCTTAACGTTCTCTGAGCCAAAAGTGCTTTAAAACAATACAAAATTTTTTTAAAAATACAAGATTAGGTTTGTAGGCAATGTAACTAAAAATTCAAAGTTAAAACCTTAAATAAAAACTTAAAATACTATTGTGAAAAAAATGCTGTTGTGATTTTAAAAACTGACTTACCGAAGACAGTTCATCACATCCCAGCAAAGTATAGTAATCTTCAGTATCTTCTGACCTGTAATTCAGTATTGCATCCATTAAGATGACTTAATTAGCTCTTCTTCCCTCAGAAACAAGAGGCACAGTGAGCTTCGAATTAACAGGAAAAAAACTCTTTTACAGCAGCACGTTCCAAACAGCAAAAACTAGCTTTAAGACTGGCCACAGTCAGTACACCAGATGTCATCCTAGACCTTTGTAAACTCGCCTCTCATTGGCTGTTTACAGAGAAGAAAAGAACAGTCCACGTGTCTATTATTGCAGTGCTGCCTGGGATCTGTAGTTTGAGTTTATAGAAGACCTGCACATGAACCATTTGCTTTATAAGTTAATAAAGACTGTCCATTTTCAGAAACTTGCCACATTAGCCACCTCTCCATAGCTTATACATTTTTGTTTTTATCATTTAAAGGAAAAAAAAAAAGAAAATTTGAAGCAATGTTGTAAAATCTCAGGATGTGTTAATTAGGGTAGTGGGAGCTTTTCTGAGCATTTAAAATATTTCGTTTTATTTATTTATTTATTTTCAGGCAGGGTCATGCTCTGTCACCCACGCTGGAGTGCAGTGGTGCAATCTCAGCTCACTGCAACCTCTGGCTCCCAGGCTCAAGCAATCCTCCCACCTCAGCCTCCAGAGTAGCTGGGACCACAGGCACACACCACCATGCCCAGCTCAATTTTTGGTTTTTGTTTTGTGTTGGTTTTTGTTTTGTTTTGTTTTCAGATAAGAAAATTTTGCCATGTTGCCCAGCCTGGTCTTGAACTTGTAAGCTCAGGGAGATCTGCCTGCTTCGGTCTCACACCATGCCGGAATTACAGGTGTGAGGCAGGGTGCCCAGCCAATAACACAATTTTGATTTTTGTGGAGCTTACGTTCTGATGGAAGAAGACAACTGAAAAACATGGAAAAAAAACAGGATCATTTAAAATGGTGATTTGTAGGCAGGGCATGGTGGCCCACACCTGTAATCCCAGCTACTTGGGAGCCGAGGCAAAAGAATCGCTTGAACCTCAGAGGCAGAGGTTGCAATTAGCTGACGTGGTGCCACTACTCTCCAGCCTGGGCAACAGAGCAAGACTCCATCTCAAAAAATAAAATAGTGATTTGTGCTGTAGAGGAAATAAAATAAGACAATGAGAAGAAGAACTGTATGATAACTCAGGTCAGATGACTGTGCTATTTCTCCTGGGTTGGTTCTCCAGATTCAGGTGTGTCTCTGGTCTAAGGTAGGTCCAGACAATTTATGTTTCAGTTCATTTTGTCCCTAAGAAAACACAGCTCAGGTCTGGGATTTAGAGAACAAGGTGAGTGGTCAGGAACACAACACTTTAAATGCCTTAACACTTTTTTTTTCTTTTTTCTTTTTTAGAGAGACAGGGTCTCCCCATATTGCTCAGATTGGTCTTAAACTCCTTGAGTCAAGCAGTCCTCCCACTCTGGCCTCGCAAAGTGCTGCAATTACAGATGTGAGCCACCATGCCTGGCCCTTAACACTTTAAATTCCCCCACCTTAGGGGAAAAATCGTTTTTATTTTAGCCTACCTATATACAGCCTTTTAAAGGTTTATTTCTGAAGAGAAGCAAGAAAAAGCACTGAAGCAGGCCGGGCATGGTGGCTCATGCCTGTAACCGCAGCACTTTGGGAGGCCGAGGTGGGTGAATCACAAGTTCAAGAGTTCAAGACCAGCCTGGGCAACATGGTGAAACCTCGTCTCTACTAAGAATACAAAAATTAGCCTGGCATGGTGGTACGTGCCTGTAAGTCCAGCCACTCAGGAGGCTGAGGCAGGAGAATTGCTTGAACCCAGGAGCTGAAGGTTGCAGTGAGCTGAGATCGCGCCATTGCACTCCAGCCTAGGTGACAGAGCAAGACTCCGTCACAGAAAAAAAAGAAAAAGCACTGAAGCACCATTTTTACTAATCCTTCATTGTTCATGCTGTCTTGCTAAAAGTTTTACTAATCCTTCATTGTACATGTTGTCTTAGCAAGCTGTCTTGTTAAGAATTTTAAAATAGAATTAATTTTGTCTTGGAAGTTTCACTAAATCCTTTAAGGTATTTGGAGGTCTATTTGCATATCACAAAATCTTGATCAAAATCACTGATGAATGGCCTTTTAATGACGTGAAGTTGCCATGGTGGAAAGCAGTATGGTGGTTCCTCAAAAAATTAAATATAGAACTACCATGTGACCCCACAATTCTATTTCTGGGTAAATACACAAAAGAAGTCAAAGCCGGAATTTGAAAAGATATGTATATACTCATGTTCATCAAGGCATTAGTCACAATAACCAAAAAGTGGAGGCAATGCAAGTGTCCATCAATGGAGAATGTTAGAGCTGGGCACAGTGGCTCACGCCTGTAATCCCAGCACTTTGGGAGGCCGAGGCAGGCAGATCACTTGGGCCCAGAAGTTCAAGACCAGCCTGGCCAACATGGCAAAACTTCATCTCTACTGAAAATATAAAAAAGTTAGCTGGGTGTCATGGCACATGCCTGTAATTCCAGCTACTTGTGAGGCTGAGGCACGAGAATTGCTTGAACCCAGGAAGTGGAGGTTGCAATGAGCTGAGATCATGCCGCTGAACTCCAGCCTAGGTGACAGAGCAAGACCCTGTCTAAAAAAAAAGTGTGGTATTGGTCAGGTGCAGTGGCTCATGCCTGTAATCTCAGCACTTTGAGAGACCAAGGCAGGAGGATTTTTTAAGCCCAGGAGTTCAAAACCAGCCTGGGCAACATAGCAAGACACTGTCTCTATTTTTATATTAATAACATAACATTTTTTAAAGTGTGTGGTATCTTCCCCAGCTGTCTTACTCCTGCTCTCACCATGCGATGTGCCTGCTCCCACTTCACCTTCTGTCGTAAGTAAAAGCTCCCTGAAGCCTTCCCAGAAGATGAACAGATGCTGGCTCTATGCTTCCACATCCTGCAGAACTGTGAGCCCATTAAACCGCTTTTCAGTATAAATTACCAAGTCTCAGATATTCCTTCATCGGAAGGCAAGAATGGCCTAACACAAAAAATTAGTACCAAGGAGTGGGGTATTGCTATAAAGATACCTGACAAAGTGGGAGCAGCTTTGAAACTGGGTAATGGGCAGAGGATGGAGGACTTTGGAGGAAGACAGGAAGATGAGGGAAAATTTGGAAATTCTGAGAGACTGGTTAAATGGTTGTGACCAAAATGCAGATGGTGATATGGATAGTGAAGTCCAGGCTAATGAGGTCTCAGATGGAAACAAGGAACTTATTGAGAACTAGAACAAGGTCACCCTTGTTATGCCTTAGTAAGGAACATGTCTAAGTGGCATTCATGCCCTAGGGATCTGTGAAAGTCTGAAGTTAAGAGTGATGACTTAGGGTATCTGGTACAAGAAATTTCTAGGAAGTAAAGTGTTCAAGAAGTGGCCTGCCTGTTTCTAACAGCCTAACTCAGGTGCAGGAGCAAAGAAATGACTTAATTTTTATTTAAAGGGGAAGCATAAAAAGCTTGGAAAATTTGTAACCTAGCCATGTGGTAGAAAAGAAAAACCCATTTTCATGGCAAGAATCCAAGCAGACTGCAGAGCAAACACTTGCCAGAAAGACTTGCATAAATGAAAGGGAGCCAGGTGCTAATAGCCAAGACAATGGGAAAAAAAACCTCAAAGGCATTTCAGAGATCTAAGAGGCAGCCCCTCCCATCACAGGCCCAGAGGCCCAGCAGGAAAGAATGAATTAGGGGGCCAGGCTCAGGGTGCTGCTGATCTGCAACACCCTGGGAGGCTGCTTCCCTGCATCAAGCCACTTCAGCCCCAGACTCAGCTCAAAGGGGCCCAGGTACAGCTCAGGCCACAGCTCTGAAGAGTGCAAGCTATAAGCCTTGGTGGCTTCCATGTGGTGTTAAGCCTGCAGGTGTTCAGAATGCAAGAGTGAAGGAGGTTTGGTAGCTTCCTCCCAGATTTCAGAGAATATGAAAGCCTGGGCACCCAAGCAGAAGCCTACCACAAGGGCAGAGCCCTCACCAAGAGCCTCTACTAGGGCAGAGCAGAGGGGAATGTGAGGTTGGAACTTTCATATAGTTTGAAAAGTGTCCCTGCCTGAATCTCATGTTGAATTGTAATCCCCAGTGTTGGAAGTAAGGCCTAGTGGGAAGTGATCAGACCATGGGTGGGGGTGGATTTCTCACGAATGATTGAGTATCATCCTCTTGGTGCTGTCCTCGCAATAGTGAGTGAATTCTCTGAGATCTGGCTGTACAAAGTGTGTCTCTCTCTCTCTCCCTCTCTCTCTCCCTCCCTCCCCCCCCCCTCCCTCCCTCCCTCCCTCCCTCCCTCCCTCCCTCCCTCTCTCTCTCTCTCTCTCTCTCTCTCTCTCTCTCTCTCTCTCTCGCTCGCTCGCTCCTGCTCCCGCCACCTTCTGCCTGCTCTCCCTTCACCTTCTGCCATGATTGGAAGCTTCCTGACGTATCCCCAGAAGCAGATGCCTGTGTTATGCTCCCTGTGCAGACTGCAGAACCATGAGCCAATTAAATCTCTTTTCTTTATAAATTACCCAGTCTCATGTATTTCTTTATAAGAATGTGGGAATGGCCTAATACAAACCCCGACACAGAGTTCCCCACTGAGGCACTACCAAGTGAAGCTGTGGGAACAGGGCCACCACCTTCCAGGCCCAGAGTGGTAGATCCACTGGCACCTCACATCCTGCACCTGGAAGAGTCACAGGCACCAATCCATGAGGCAGCCTGCAAAGGCACAAGGGCAACTCTGCCCAAGGGCTTGGGAGCCTGCCCCTCACAGCAGTGTGCCCAGAATCTGGGACATAGTTCAATAATTATTTTGAAGCTTTTTTTTTTTTTTTTGAGACAAAGTTTCGCTCTTGTTACCCAGGCTGGAGTGCAATGGCGCGATCTCGGCTCACCGCAACCTCTACCTCCTGGGTTCAGGCAATTCTCCTGCCTCAGCCTCCTGAGTAGCTGGGATTACAGGCACGCACCACCGTGCACAGCTAATTTTTTGTATTTTTAGTAGAGACGGGGTTTCACCATGTTGACCAGGATGGTCTAGATCTCTTGACCTCGTGATCCACCTGCCACAGCCTCCCAAAGAGCTGGGATTACAGGCGTGAGCCACCGCGCCCAGCTATTTTGGAGCTTTAAGATTTAATGACTGTCCTGCTAGGTTTCAGGCTTGATTGGTACTTGTTGCTCCTTTGTTTCTTTTAT